GTGGGAAACGGTTTGCTCACAGATCAATCCTTGAGAATCATTTGAAAACCCACACTGGGGAGAAACCCTTTAAATGCCTGGAGTGCGGGAAGAGCTTCACTCAGAGTGGAAAGCTTACCAGGCACCAAGTGATCCACACTGGGGAGAAGCCATTTAAATGCCTGCGCTGTGGAAAGAGCTTCCTGAGAAGGGACACGCTCAATTCGCATCAAAGGACACACAGTGGGGAGAAACCCTTTACGTGCCTGGAGTGCGGAAAGAGTTTCACTGAGAATGGGAAGCTTACCGTACACCGGAGGACTCACACAGGGGAAAGGCCCTATCAATGCCTGCAGTGCAGAAAGAGCTTCATCGATAGCGGGACGCTTACCAAACATCAAAGGATTCACACGGGGGAGAAGCCTTTTACATGCCTGGAGTGTGGAAAGACATTCAGCCAAAGGGAAGGCTTTACCACCCATCAGACTATCCACACTGGGGAAAAACCATTTAAATGCTTGGAGTGTGGGAAGAGCTTCCGTTTGAATGGAAGCCTTACTTCTCATCAAAGAATTCACACCGGAGAGAGGCCCTTTAAATGCCTGCAGTGTGGAAAGAGCTTTACTCAGAGTGGAACTCTTACTATCCATCAAAGAATCCACACTGGAGATACCCCTTTTGAGTGCCAGGAGTGTGGACAGACCTTCAAGCACAGAGAGAAGCTGGTTTCGCACCAGAACGTTCATGTGAATGCTGCGGAGAAACCATATAACACAACAATGGATGGGACAAAACCTTTTAAATGCCTAGAGTGTGAAAAGAGCTTCCAGCAATGGAATCAGTTCTACTCCCATCAGAGGATTCACACTGGGGAGAAACCGTATGTGTGTCGGGAGTGTGGAAAGGGTTTCCGGAAGAATGAGTTCCTGACCGTACATCAAAAAATTCACACAGGGGAGAAACCTTTCAAATGTCTTGAGTGTGGGAAAGATTTCCGGCAGAAGTCTCACTACAACTCCCACCAAAGGACTCACACTGGGGAAAAACCATTTACCTGTCCAGAGTGTGGGAAGAGCTTCCTGGAAGAAAAATCCTTGGTTTCGCACCAACGCAGTCACAAGACAGAGAAACCATTTAAATGCCTGGAGTGCGGGAAGAGCTTCAGCGATATCGGAGCGCTGAGCAAACATCACAGAATTCATACTGGCGAGAAACCCTTTAAATGTCCAGATTGTGGGAGAAGCTTCAGGTGGAGGAATAAGTTCCTTTCACATCAGAGGGTTCACACAGGAGAGAAGCCGTTCAAGTGTCCGCAGTGTGGAAAGAACTTCCGGAGGAAGGATAAACTTAACATCCATCAGAGAATTCACACTGGAGAGAAGCCATTTAAATGCCTGGAGTGCGGAAAGGGCTTCAAGCAGAGTGGAACACTTATATCCCATCAAAAAATTCACGTAACATAGAAAATAATTTAAGTGGATTTAACTACCACATTTTAGGAATCTCATAAAGTGACACAATTTACTGGAATAGATTATACAACTCAGAATGAAGATAGTAGGAAGAGACAAAGGCTGTATTACAGGTGGATTGATTCGATCAAGGAAGTCATGGGCTCGAATTTAACAGAGATGAGTAAGACTGTTATTTATTTATGTACAGTATTTATATTCTGCCCTTCTCACCCTGAAGGGGACTCGGGGCAGATCACAGAACACATATCTGGCAAAAATTCAATGCCGTTACACACAGACAAGGCAAACAATTGTACGTAAATAGAGGTACAATAGACTCTCGCTTATCCAACCTTCGCTCACCCAACATTCTGTATTATCCAACACAGTCTGCCTCCCATCCGGATCCACAGCTGTTTCAATACATTGCGATGTTTTGGTGCTAAATTTGTAAATGCAATAATTACTACATGATGTTACTGTGTATTGAACTGCTTTTCTGTAAGTTTGTTTTAAAACATAATGTTTTGGGGCTTAATTTGTAAAATCATAACATAATTTGACATTTAATAGGCTTTTCCTTGATACCTCCTTACTATTCAACATTTTCACTTATCCAGCATTCTGCTGGCCCGTTAATGTTGGATAAGTGAGACTCTACTGTATGTATGTGTGTATGTATGTATGTGTGTGTGTGTGTGTATATATATATCTTTTCTCCATGTACTTTCTTAGGTTTCAGAGATACAATTAAAAACTTTACTTCTTTGCTGAGACTGCTTCCCACTCAGGTAAAGTAAAGAAGTCTTTGTCTTTATCCAGCCCTGCCACTTCCAATGACTGCGCGCGCACACACACACACACACAGGCTTTCCCGTCTTCGGCATCTTGGAGGCTGTGCTCGGTTCCAGCCATGAGGGATGCTGTTGCTCCATCTTCCCCGCCAAAGAACTTTGTTCATAAACTTCTTCCTTTTGATCAAATCAAAAGGCATTTTTTCTGGCATTTCCTTATGGGTAATTAATAATAATAACAACAACAACAACAGCAGCACTTTATTTATATTCCACCCTGTCTCCCCAAGGGGACTCAGGGCAAATTACAGTACACATACATGGCAAACATTCAATGCTGTTTTGGATAGACAGGACAGAGAGACAGGAGGTATGTTGTGTCAACGTCCAGCTTTTTGGCGCCTTGGAGGTTGTGCTCAAATCCAGCCACTGGGGTGATGTTATTCCATCCTCTATGATGAAGAGCCATCAGGACTTCCCCCTTCCTTTTGATCGCTGGACATTTTTCTGATCTTTTTCTTTTTATGGTGTCATAAAATACTTCCTCCGCTTTTTAGCGGTACCTAATTTCTCTACTAACAGCTCTAAGCTGTTCTTGAACTGCTTAGGTAAACAGTGAGCTGGGCTGACAGTCGGGTGCTCACCCTGACCTGAGCTTCAAACTGGCAACTTTTTGGTTGATAGATCTTATTGCTGCTGGTGATCCACCAGCTCTGCTAAAGTTTGGGTGCCTTAAAGACCTCCCCACTTTAAAGTGGTACCTATTTATCTACTCACATTTGCTTTTGAACTGCTAGGCAGGCAGAAGCTGGGCTAAAGGCCAAGAGCTCACCCTGACCTGGGCTTAAAACTGTCAATCTTTTGGTTGGCAAGATTTACTGCAGATGACAGTTAATCTGCTGTGCTAAAGCCTGGCTTCTTCCCAAGACTGCCATACATCAAAACCAATTTACTGTATATACTCAAGTATAAGTCCAGATATTTAGTCAAGAAATCGATCCCAGAAAATTGTATTGGCTCATCCACGGATCAGTGTGACTCCTATACGTTAACTTCTACCAAAAAAGTAACCATTCCCTTCTCTGGGAAAAGTAGCAAAAGGCAAGACCATATTCCATCCCAGGAGAACCTAAATGAAGCACAAACTCTCTCTACTATCATCAATAGGGTGCCTCATTTGGCTTATTTAAATGTCTAGAAGGGAAAATGGGGGGGATGATGACTGCCCCCCTGAGTTGGCATTAGGACTTCCCCAAAGACCATGTCAAAATCCATAATTTTGGCTGCAAAACCAGTCCTCAACTTGTACACAAGTATACTGTATATGGCAATGTCATATAAAGGCAACAACTTGAAACCCACTGGGATTTTGGCCTGCATAAATAGGAGTATAGTTTCTAGATCCAGGGAAGTCATGCTAGCCCTCTATTCTGCCTTGGTCAGACCACTTCTGGAATACTTCTGTACAATTCTGGGCACCGCAATTGAGAGGAGAAGTTGACAAGCTGGAATGTGTCCAGAGAAGGGCGACTCAAATGATCAAGGCTCTGGAGAACAAGCCCTATGACGCATGTCTTAATGAGATGGGTATGTTTAGCCTGCAGAAAGCTGATTGGAGTCATGGTGGCCATGTAAAAATATATGAGGGGAAGCGGGAGCAAGCAAGCTTGTTTTCTACTGCCCTGGAGACTAGGAAGCGGAACAATGCCTTCAAACTACAGAAAAGGATATTCCACCTGAACACTAGGAAGAACTTCCTAAATGTGAGAGCTGTTCAGCAGTGGAACTCTCTGC